GTATTCACTGGGTTTTCAAGCTCTAATGAAGACCGTTAAAGTAAAACCAGTAATACACGTCTTGCTGCCATCCTCAGGGTCACCGAGAAGTGGAGGTGACCGATAATGGTGAGACATGTAAGTGGGAAATGAGCTGCCATAGCTTCCACATGTAGGGGCACTACAAATCGAACTTGGTTCTCACTTGGAGGCAGTGACTTTTGTGCTAAATGAAGCATGCACGTTCCATTTTGCAAAAGCATCATAGGTATTGTATTTCAGAGATCTAGTGAATGAATTTTTCTCTCACCATAAAGTGCCTCTTCACTACATTAGCCCAGAGGTGGTGGTGGTTTGTTTGTTTTTTTAATTTTATTGGGGGCTCATACAGCTCTTACCACAATCCATACATCCATTGTGTCAAGCACATTTATACATATTTTGCTATCATTTTCAAAATATTTTCTTTATACCTGAGCCCTTGATATCAGCTCTTCATTCCCATCCCCCACCCCCATGAACCCTTGATGATTTATAATTTTTTTTTCATGCTTTACATTGAACTCTTTCCCTTCACCCACTTTTCTGTTGTCCATCCCCCTGGGAGGGGGTTATATGTAGATCACTGTGATTGGTTCCCCCTTTGTCCCCCAACCTTACCCTCCCCTCCTGGTATTGCTACTCTCATTATTGGCCTGAGGGGGGTTATCTGTCCTGTATTCCCTGTGTTTCCAGCTCTTATCTCTACCAGTGTACATGCGCTGGTCTAGCCAGATTTATAAGGTAGAATTGGGGTCATGATAGTGGAGGGGAGCATTAAAGAACTAGAGGAAAGTTGTGTTTCATTGGTGCTATATTGCACCCTAACTGGCTCATCAATTCCTTGTGACCCTTTTGTAAGGGGATGTCCAATTGTCTACAGATGGGTTTTGGGTCCCCACTCCATACTCCCCCCCCTCATTCACATTGTATGATTTTTTTGTTCTGGGTCTTTGATGCCTGATACCTGATCCCATTGAGACCTCATGGTCACAGGCTGGTGTTCTTCCATGAGGACTTTGTTATTTCTCAGCTAGATGGCTGCTTGTTTATCTTCAAGCCTTTAAGACCCCACATGCTGTATCTTTTGATAGCCAGTCATCATCAGCTTTCTTCACCACATTTGCTTATGCACTCATTGTCTTCAGTGATCATGTCAGGAGAGTGAGCATCATGGAATGCCAGGTTATTCGAACAAAGTGTTCTTGCATTGAGGGAGTACTTGAGTAGAGGCTTAATGTCCATCTACTACCCTAATAACATATAAATATATGTACATAGATATATTTCCCTATTGTTATGTATAAATGTATTTACATATGTACATGCCTGTATTTAGACCTCTATAAATATTCTTTGCCTCCTAGTTCGTTCCTCTATTTCCTTTTACTTTCCTTTTGTCCCACTATCATCAGCTTTCATTCAGGTTTCAGTAATTCCTCTCGGTTACATTGCCCTTAATCAAGCCCTACCAGGCATCCTACGCCCTCCTTGCCTGCCATCAATTTTAGATCACTTGTTGTTCCCTTGTCCCTGGGTTTGTTAACACCCACTTCCTTTCCCCTGCCAACCCCCTCTTCCATGTCCTCCCCTTCCCATGTCCCCCATCCCCAACCATCAGTCCGTTGTTTTCTCCTCTGGATTGTTTATCCTGCCTATCTTATCTACATAGACATGCAGAGACAACAATAAGCACAAAAACAAGACAGCAAAAGAAAACAACCAAAAATTATGGACAAAAAAAAAAAAGAGAAAAGCCTATAAATAGTTCCAGGTCTGTTTGTTGACCTTTAGCAGTGTTGTCTGGTCAAGACATGGGGTGCCACACCCTGGCCCCAAAGTCTATTTTTGGTATTCCCATCGCACTTAATTGCTTTGCTCCCCTTGCTGCTGTGTTGCACACACCCTTAGCGTTTTGCCCCTGTGAGGTGGGGTCTGATTGCAAGTCAGAGGTTCTTAGTAAACGTATTTCCTAATGTGGGTAGGACATTCTGTTCAAGATTGCCCTCCTTCTCGAACAGTGGCCTCCAGATCTCCCAGATACCCCATCATGTGATTTCTTAACAGTCTTGAAGAAATAAATGCCATTTCAATGATGAACAGTGACTACAAAGGTCTGACTGAAATGGGCTGAAGGCTTGAGGTGTGCCTGGTGAGGGGAAAAGGGCATTGTGAACATTTGTAAGATGGTGTATCTGTGATGGTTCCTTTGCAGATTAGTTTTTGGTTGCAACCTAGTTACCATTGTATGGCAATTTTTTAGAGTGTTCAATTATGTTTGGGATAAAGTTTATTGAGGGCAATCTACATGAAACTAAAATGTACAGATGTTAAGTTTGATAACAACAGCAGCAGATATGTGCAGGTGAAATATTGCCTGGCTCAAAAAGTCCCCTGTGCACTTTTGCAATCAGTACCTCCTTCCCTCCAGTCATCAGCTTCCTGTCACCATACGTTAGTTAGTTTTGCCTGTTCTAGAACTTTAAATGAAATCGTTTGGGCATATAATCCTGTATGTCTGACTTCTCTCACGTATTTTAGGATTCATCCATTTTGTGGTCTGCATCAGTAATTGGTTCATTTTTATTCTTTTGCTTAAATTTTAAAAATTTCATATAGTATTTAAATTTTTTCAAATATATGCAGTTGTACTATACTTTGATAATTTTTTGAGATTTAGCTATATTGGTGTATGTCTGATTTATTCATTTTAGCTACTATCTAATACTACATTTTATAAGAATAAGCCATGATGTTGCAGTGAGTCGTTGACTGACAGTTCAAATCATTCCATGAGAGAGACAAGGCAGTGTGCATTGATAAAGATTTCGAGTCTCAGAAACCAAAGGAGTACCACTCAATCCTCTAAATCGGAATCCACTCAGTGGCCATGGGTTTGGATTAGAGTTATACTATGCATTCTTTTTATATTTTTCTAGAGCCCTTGTGGCACCATGAATTAAGCATTGTACTGCTAACCAAAGGTAGAGGTTCAAATCCAACTGCTTCATGGCAGAAAGATGTGGCTTCCTGTTTTTGTAGATTTACAGCTCTGGAAATCCCAAAGGGTTGTTCTCTGCCCCATAGTGTTGCCATGTCCAATACTCCATTATTTTCATGACCCTTAAGTTTGTAATGACTTAATACCTGGTATAAATAGCGTTCTCCCTTTACAATTCCCTCGCCTATTCTTGGCCCATTGTTCACCATGAATTTTAGGATCGGCTTGTCTGTTCCAAAAGAAGCAAACAACAAAAACAGTTTGCATTTTCTTTCAACTTGTGTTGAACTTATTAGGAGAGAGTTGACATTTAACAGTTTAAGTCTGACTGTGCATCACTATGAGATGCCTGATTTTAGTCCCCTTTTTATGTCTTTTGATAACATTTTATCTTTTTCTCTCAAAAGGTCTTTTAAAACCAGCCTTATTTTTGGGGTACAATCTACCATAAAATTCACTCCTCACATAATGTGTTGCGAATCTGCTGCTTGGCTAGGTACCGTGTAGTTTTATTAATAGCTTCTTAATTGTTAGTGTGAAGAGCACCTTTGTTTTCTAACATTTTTGTTATTGGTGCTTAGGCAGCATTTTATCCATCTTTTTCAGCCGGCAGGAAAACTATTTTTTTTCCTCCTCACTTTGGGACAGTTGGAGACTCTTTATCTTCTATCACGAATCCATATAGGATATGATGGTGATGAAAATAAAAGTTGGAAGTTTGATCCCAGGAGCTTGTAAAAGATAAAGGGGGAGACAGGAGGAACCCTCCAAGCCTGGGACACGGTCCTTCCCGGAACCTGCCCTACCATGCTCCCTCCTCTCCTGGCCTACATAAGCTCTGCATTCATCCGTACACTTTTAAACTATAATAGATTGTTTTCACGGTACACCAGGTACTGTGCAGGCATTTGGGAAGAAACATTGTCTTTTGTAATGGTGAGCAAACAGTGCCGCGAGAAAAACACTGCGGTTAGTGGATACCCTTTCCCCGGGCTACCGACAGCTGGGATACCTGACAAAAGTTCTTTTCACATATCGTTTAGTTGTGAATCCTCAAAGCAATCATTTTTATAGAAAGTAGAGGTTATGTGGTTTGCTAATAAAATGGGGTATTATTACAGTGGAGTGCTATGATCATTTAAAAAGCTAATTAGTTCTTGCTGTTGGGTCTACTCAGAGCAGAACAGAGACCAATTTGATAGTTCCCACCTGTGTGATTCCGTGAAGTCTTATAACCATGCTCACGCTCTCTTTCTGACTTGTGCTTCCTCTATTAGCATACGCTCACTGCTCCCCAGCTTCTTGCTCTTGTCAATTTGGAGATGATTAATTTTTCTGGCATTTACTTAGTTTCTGATTTTCAGTCTTTTTGTATAGTTTAAAGTAATTTTTACATTTTCAGGCATTACCCACACATTGTATAAAAGATGACTTTATTTTTTAAAATGCTGTAAGAAAAAAAGCAGTGATGTAACTCCAAATGTGTTATTTAAAAGTCGTTATTTTCCTAATATTTCAAGGTAGCCTTCGTGGTTGAGCTAAGCATTGTTTATGGTTAATGATAAATAAAATGTTCCGACAGACAGACTGAGAAAATTGCACAGGACAGAAATTGGCCACATAGGTAAATCTGCAGTTCTTATGTCAGCAATGACTGACATTTCTGTTCAGTGATAGAAACCTTTTTGCTTCAGTTTCAAACCTGTTTTCTCTAAGAGTCTGGTCACTTGGCACATACCTTCAGCCACACTGGAATGTATTAAGAGGTTATGGAATCTATGCAAGATTAACAGCCTGGACATTTTCTTCTTTAGTGTAGAAAATTTCAGCTGTTAATAGGCCAGATATTGGTGTGTAAGCCTCATGAATGCAGTTTTTCTTCACCAAAGAATTAGTAAATACTGCTCAAAACGAAACATTTAGTACATCTGAAATGGACATTTTCATCTTAAGTCATTGGGTTTTTTGCATTTTGTTTTAGTCACTGCCTGTATGCCTTATTGCCTGGGTCCATGGGAAGCATGAGTCTCTTGGGAGCTGGGACAAGAAGAAAACAAGACATCTTCGCCAGGAAAAGCAGACGCTAAGAGGGCATCTGAGATTTGAAGGCAGGGGTTAGAACACAGCCATGACCGACAGTGGACTCCGAGATCCTCCGGAGGGTAAGGCTGGTCCCGCAGTGCCGGGATTTGTGCTCCAGGAAACTAGAGTTGTGGTGGGAGAAAAATCTTTTGAGGACTAAAAGCGGAAAGCTTGAAGTAAAACTGAAACGAATTCATTTAATTTTGATTAGTTTGTGATTAATGGTTCATTATTTGTGATATTTACTGAATTTTACCATAACACCAGACCCTAATCATAATGTAAGGAATACTAATACTCTAGAGACTGCAGTAGGAAGGGTACTATAGTTTTGAGAGGAAAAAATGAAGTGCATATTTAAAATAAGTGGTAGACAGGTCTTCAAAGCTGTATTTATAATATTAAGATGTGTAGTGTGCTTTATCTCGAAGGGATCTTTGAATTATAGAAGATAAAATTAAAACTGTTCTTGCTATTTGCATGTATATGTTTTGAAATTGGCAAAATATGAAATAGATTCCTCAGAAGAGGAGAATATGTTTACTTGAGACCTTTAATTATGGAGGTTTTAAAATAAGCCAAATGTTCATGTATTTGGCTGTGCGTCATGGAAGACTGGGCAGCAGTGAGTTTGGGACAGGGTGATGAGCCTCCGTGCACCAGCATCTGACTCTTACAATCTAAAGGCCCACTGATTGTTGCTCTGGAGAAGTGGTCTGTGTATCTTGGCCATTAAGTCATCTGTAAATAGTTTATATCTCCTAGAGATCCTTTCTTAAAAGTATCTTTATCGTACTTAGAAAATAAATAGAAAATTATTCCTTAATAATAGTACCACATGTATAATCAGAATTCAGATTTTCTCCATTTTTTCCCCTTCTCTTGTTCTCTCCCTCTTTCTCCCTCCCTATCTCATTTAGGTTTGTCTCCGTCAGGTTCTAAACAAGGGCTCAGCCTGCAAGTTAGCTGGTGGAGCTCTTGGGCTGCTTGTCTTTGCTTTTAATTTTAGTGTAGGAACTTTCAGCTGTACACAAAGGCAGGGAAAGTGAGATGCACGCTGCCATGGACCCCTCAAAGAGCTTCAGCTCCCCGCCGCTCCTCATTGACCCTTTCTCACCTCAGTACACTGAAGCAAAATCTGGACATCATTAAAACTTGAGTGTTTATCTCTAAAAGTAACAATTGAAAAATAACCATAAAGATTAACCACACATAAAAGCACGAACATTAATTCTATAGTAGCAAATATCCAATATTCCTAATACCACAGTCAAATATCAGATCCTTCCTACTTATCTCATAAATGTTTTCTTCTTCTCATTGGTTTGTTAAAACTACATCTAAAAAAAACCCAAAACTACATATAAAAGACCCACACATCGCACTTCATTGGTAAGTCTCTACAACCTCTTAATTGACAGATTAAATCTCATTTTCTTCTCTCTCTTTCCCTATTTATTTTTATTCCTTGCCATTATTGAAAAACAAAGTCATTGTCCCTTGACTTTCTTGTGTCCTGGGTTTCGTGGTTCATACTCCCGGACACCATTTCATGCATTTCTCTATTATTCTAGTTCTTGGACACTAGCGGTCAGATCTAAAGACTACATTGGACTCAGATTCCGTTTCTGACACTCTTACATCGCAGGTGGGATAGAATATATGCTATGACATTGCATCAAGAGGTGTCTGGTTTCACTCGCTTCTGTAATAAGATTAATCAGTCTGCTTCATCCATTATAAAATTCCTCTTCAAATTAATACTTTTCGCTGCCATTGGTGATCATTACCTTAACCTATGATTTCATTAGTGAAGATGATATGATATATTGACAATAACCAACAGTTAGTTCTATCATTCAGAATTGTTTTGCACTCATGTTGTTAGAGTTATTAATATGATGTTTTGGAGAGTGTCTTGTGAATCACAACTCTGTATAAATATTGCTATTAATTAGGAGCCTTGTTAAAAACAGTGCTTTTCCACTGAAAATGACAATTTTTTATCTCAATAGATTCTCAAATGCATTTGGAAAATGTCCCAGCAGTCAGTTCTCAGGCACAGAAGACCACAGTCCCAGAGAGTGCCACCAAAGAAGCTCAGTCCCCAGGCCCTGCCTCTGGCCTTAACCAAGGTCCGCCTGGGATAGAGGAATTGGGTCCAGGGCGTGCAGACACAGGTGCTCAATCTGAAGGTCCAGATGACATGACGGATGGGAAACATCCAGAGGATGGAAGCAAGCAAGAGACCAACAGGAGTTCCCAGGATGGAGAGCAGGGGCACCACTTCCATCCAGGAAGTCCTGGGGAAAGACTCTTGGATCAAGATCCTAACCATTCTCCTGGTGACATGGTAGGAAGAGCAGGTGCACACCCAGGGAGTCATTCTGCAGCCCTCCCTGAGGAAGGGCGCATCAGCACCGCAGCTTCCCAGGAGCCACCAGCCCCAGACTCCCAGGATGCCCAGGGTTCTGGTGGTCCCAGCACAGGCCTGGAGAGCCAGGGAGCACTGAGGAGGCGGCTAGTGGCACCAGGTGAGAGGACCCACTGAATGTCAGGCCTGCTTTGTGTTGCTCTGTTGCTGAGAGAAGAGCAGAAGCCAAAGCCCTTCTTTCTTTCTGGGCGTCTAGTTTGCCTTTGTTTCCCAAGGTTAAGGGAAAATAGAACTTACGAGTTTACTTACTTATGTTCCTACTGAGAAGCAGGCGGCTTGTTATTCTGTGGCCTTGCATGGTTCCTGCTAATGTGTAAGGTATTTGCATGTGCCATAAAATGTAGCTGAGTGCAGTCTTAGTTGCTGCCCACAGGTTGTCTTAAGCCCAAGCCTAGAAAGCTGCTCTAGATTTCTTCACCCTCCACTCACTCACCAGTAACTCCTCGCTGTAACGAAATGTGTTCTCCCGGATTTGTGGTTCCTTAACTGCTGCAACTGGTGCCAGCCCCTCACCTTGTTTCCAGCTGGAGGACTGAGAAGAACCCTTGATCTCTGGAGGAGCATAAATACTACACTTTGGTTGTTTCTTACTTGCCTCTTGTTTTCTTCTGCTCCTTAATCTCTTGCTGTCTAATAGGCTTTCTAGAACCCACCTTTTTTCTTCCACACTGCCCTACTCCCTAATCTCTCCTTCCCACCCACTCTACAAGTCCCAATTCTAATTGAGTAAAACAAATTATAATCAAAATGATGTTTTATAGGTTAAGTATTATAATATGTGCACCATTGGTGTATTTCAGTGTGCAAACATTATTTGATTGCATTTTTTATAAAAACTGAGCCGTTTGTTGTATAGTCGCCCCTTTGATCTTAAAGATTTGCAGAGGCCATACCTGGTATAACAATTGGGTTATGTTTGCTTGGAGTTGCATCAAAGGTAGGAGAGTCAGGAATCTGAAGAGGAATTGGAATGCATTTCTAATGAGCTCATTGAATAAATGTATCCTTTTTCATTGAGACCAGGAGTGATGACACCAGATGGAATGTTTTTAATCTATGATTCTTTAAGAGTCCTGTTCAAACAAGGGGACATGAGGAACTGAATTTCAAGTTCTAGAATTTCTATCACCTGTATGTTAACAAATTATTCAAATTTATGCACCCACACCTACTATCAAAGATGAAGAAATTGAAGGTTTTTAACAATATCTACAATCAGAAATTGATAAAATGTACAGTCAAGATGCATTGATAATTGTTGAAGATGACAATGTGTAAGTTGGATATAAAGAAGTTGGAAAATGTGGACTTGATGATAGAAACTATGTTAGGGATCTCATGATAGAATTTTGACAGCCTAACAACTTACTCACTGCAAGTACCTTTATTCAACAACATGAAGGTATTCAATCCTACATCTGGACCTCATGGAATACATAGAAATCAAATCAACTACATTTGTTGAAAGAAACAAGGGAGAAGCTCAATTCCAGCCAGAATAGGACCTGAGGCTGAATGCAGAATAGATCATCACTTGCTTATATGTAAGTTCCACTTGCAGCTGAAGAAAAATAAAACTAGTCCATGAGAACCAAACTATGACCTTGAGTAAATCCTACCGGAATTTAGGACCATCTCAATAAGAGATTTGACACATTGAACAATAATGACGTAGATAAATTAGGGGATCATATCAGGAACATTATATAAGAATGCAAAAGATGATAAGAAAGAAAAGACTGGGACTAGATCATGATTGACATGTAACCCCCTCCCAGGGGGACTGACTGCAGAAAAGTGGGTGAAGGGAAACAGCAGTTAGTGTAAGACATGAAAAAAAAAAGATAAATTATCATGGGTTCACGAGGGTGGGAATGGGGGCAGGAATGAGCTGATAACAAGGATTCAAGTACAAGGAAAATGTTTTGAAAATGATGTTGGCAACAAATGCATGAATGTGCTGGACACGATGTGTGTATCGATTATATTAGCTGTAAGAGCACCTAATAAAATGATTAAAAAAAGAAGAAGAAAGAAAAGACCAAATGGATGTCAGAAGAGAGTCTGAAACTTTCTTCTGAATTTAGAGTGGATAAAGCGAATGGAAGAATGGAAGTAAAAGCTGAACAGAAGATTTCAAATAGTATCTCGAAAAGACAAAAGTAAAAGGATTGTAGTGAAAAGTGCAGACCTGTACATAGAAACCCAAAAGGGAACTGCAGGCTTGGCATTTCTCAAGGTGAAAGGACTGAAGAAAAAAGTCAAGCCTTAAACTGCAATGTTGAAGGATTCGATGGACAAAATTTGTAAAAAGCAGGAAATACAAAGGGATGATGAAAAGAATACACATAGATTTACTATAATAAATAGGATTGGCTCAAGATCAACCATTTCAGGAGGTATCTTATGATCAAGAATTGATAGAATTGCTGACATCAGATTGATCTTGGCCGAAACCCGATAATATCAGAAAAAGTGTTTATTTGTACTTCATTGACTATGTTTTATTCCTGACTATCCACTGTGTGGACTGACTTTGTTTTATCAACTATGCCATTTGTAAGAAATTACAGATGGCAAGTGAAGAATGAGAATTAACACGTATAGTACATAGACCAAGGGGCAGTTTTTACAACAAAGCAAGGGTATATGTTTGAACATTATGAGAAGTGCGCATCCATTGTATTCTTTTACACACTTGTTCAATTGTATGCTGAGGAAATAATCCACGAAGCTATACTATATGAAGAAGGATGCAGCATCTAGGTCTTAGGCAAACCCATAAGCAGCCTGTGGCTATGCGATGGTCAGCTTTGCTGGCCGAGAGTGAAGACGGCCTGAAGCACTGATGAGAACTGGACAGCACAGCTTTTGTTGAATTATAACTCAATATAAAGAAGACAAAAATCCTCACAGTTGAGCCAAGAAACAACACCACAATAGAGAAAAGATTGAAGTTGTTAGAGACTCATTCATTTTCACTTGTGTTCACAATCAGTGCCCATGGAGGCAGCAGTTGAGAAATCAGATGACACATCACATTGGACAAATCTATAGCAAAAGACCTGTACATTTAAAGCAATAAAAATCAGAAACACCTGCCCCTAGTCCTATTTCATGACCCAAGTCACCTCGCAGGCATTGGGAAGCTAGACAAGGATTAAGGATGACTTCCATTTGAATGATTGCATATTGAAAGTACCAAGGACTTTCTGGAGAACAAACAGATCTGTCTCGGAGAAGTACAGCAAGAATCCTCCTTGGAAGCAAGGATGATGAGACATTGACTTAGTCTTTTGGACATTTCATGAGGAAGGATCAATTCCTAAAGAAGACCATCAGATTTGATAAAGTCTAGCGGGACATCAACAAAGGAAAATGAAGTGGAGTGCTACTGTGCCTGCAACAGTGGGCTGAGCATAGCAACGTTGTGAGGACAGGCAGCGAGCAGTGCTTTCTGCTATTGTAGATGAGGTCACTGTGAGTCAGACCTACGTGACATCACTTAAAACAACAACATGGAATCTAGATTTTCTGGAGCTACTGTTGCTGGATGACCCTCTTAAATTATTGCTTGGGGTGATCTTTAAATACACCCAACGTGTCACCTGAAGTCCTCTTTAAACCAAATAGTTATTTTGTTTCCTTATAAAGAATGCTTACCTGAGGCATTTTCCTCTTAAGGAGCTAGCTGTAGAGAATCAAATTGACCACCATCTGTGCACTCTGAGTCATTTGGACTAAATGACCCCTTAGAACAGATTACAACTCTGCCTTAGGGTTTCTAAGACTAAATCTTTATTTGAGCAGACAGCATCATTTGTCTTCTTGGAATTACTAATGTCTTTGAACCATTGTCCTTGCAGTTAGTAGTAGCCTAACTCATAACTCCCTAGGTGCCTCCAGGACACCTTCAATTGACCACAACTACATCTGTAAAGCTGAGAGGGCAGTAGGTTAAAGTTAATGTTGGCGAAATCATTTGGGACAGGATAGAGAGAATGGTTGCACATCTCAAAGACTGTCACCAGTCTTACAGAATTAGACATGTAAAACATGTTGGATTGATGTCTCCAAGAAGCTTAAATGCTAGTAATATGTGTCCTACCAACCTTAATGGAAATTTCATTTCATTTTACTGTTGGGCTCAGGCTTCAGTGTCTGCTGTTCATGTAGCAGGGCCACTCACTCTGTACTTAGATAAGGAAAACACATACGGTATTGTTTAACTGTTCTCCGACTCTCAACTCTGACTACAATATTCTATCCCCCTTTCCACTGAAAACAGCCTTCCAGACGATGAAGAACTTTGTAATCCCTGGTTCTGGATCTCATAAAATACCTTTTCATTAGCATGCATAAAGAATCTGAGTTTCAAGTAGGCATTATCCCTCCATGGAAATTTTATTCAGCGTGTTACAATAAATAGATGTCAGCTATGTGCCTTTAAAAGTTTTTAAAATCCAGGTCCTGTCCTCAAGTTTGCTACCTACTTAGGAGAACTGGATTGAGTAATTTTGCAATTATATCACCTCTCACTTTAAGGTATGCACTTCAGGAGCCCTGGTCACGGTGTAGCGGTTATGTGGTCAGCCATGCGAGAGACTACCATTGCTCTTCAGGAG